AGGGGCCCTGTGAGTCCCTGTGTTCTGCATTCTTCTGGTACTGCACTTGCTCCCCTTTGAGCGTTGGGCCTGCAGCAGGGTCTGCCCAGAGGCAGTAGGCTGCAGCCCCTCACCAGACAGATCTCACCCAGAGTCGCCCTTTCGCTGGCCTGGTTCAGCTCTGTCTTGGATTTGTGAAAGTGCTTTCTGCGGGGGTCGGCAACCAGTAGGTATTTTTGAATGAAGAATTAACGAAGACTCTCTTATTCTTGACACTCAGGTATTTGGGGAGACCAAAGAAAGAGAAGACAATTGTAATCAGACCTCCCTTCCTTCGCCCAGACGTGTCAGATGGACAGATAACTGTAAAGATCATGGATAATGGCATCCAAGGAGAGTTGAGGAGGACAAAGGTGACTTAGGGAACCCCGTCCGTGACAAGAGATGGAGACTTGCTTTTAGTTTACATCTCCTGCAGTATTTATCATTTTTTGACACAAATTATCTGTTTCTCTGTTAGTTCATTCAGAAATAGTCTGTTCATTTCTGGTCTTCATAGGACTTAATGCACTCATAGCTTATAGAAGTTGGGAGCTTAACAAGTGGTTGTTGCTGGAAGTGAACAAATAATTGACAGAAATAAACCCTTGCTGGAAACTTTACCAATATCATCCCCAGACTTGTCCAGCCCCAGTTTAGAAATATGTGATTCACTCCTAATACCCTTTTTATACCAGTTTATCACTTTATTTTTTTAAGCATTTTTATTTATTTATGCATACAAAAACGGGTGTAGCCAGATGTGCAGCATAGAGGGAGGGTGAGGGTTCACCAGAGACAGAGTGGGAGGCAGACCAAGCGAAGTGACTGAAATACACTGCTGAGGGGAGCGGCAGGAAAGACAAAGAGGTCTGCTGCGCTATGGCGGCTGCCTCTCTGGCCGGGGACCGAACTCATGCCATAGTGGCTGGTGATAGCTTGATAGTGCTGAGATTTAGCCCCTGTGCCACCAGGGAGGCCCCCGGTATAGCAGCGCGACTTGCCCTAATGCACCAACTCTGATTTCCCAGTCTAAGGGAAGCCTGGAGATAACAGAAAGCCAGTCTGCTGATGCTGAACCGCCCCCCCCTCCTAAGCCGGACCTAAGCCGTTACACAGGGCTGCGAACACACCTCGGCCTGGCGGCTAACGAGGGTAAGGCAGGGGCTCGAGTGAGTTATGTGTGAACCGTGGGGACAGCGGGCAGGGGCTAGGTGGGAATACGAGTGTTTTTGCCAAAGACACTCAGGTGGGACATGAGGCGATCACTTGGGCCAGCCAGGAGAAAGGAGACCACTTAGGACGCCGCTAGCTAGTGGTGTAAATGGGAGGAGGGGGACCCAGCTTCTGGACAGACCGGAGAACATCCTGAAACCTGTTGTGCATTCTTTTAATGAGTTCTGTGCGGGTGTCAATCTTTATTCTTCAGTGAGATCATTTTCCTGCACTTGGGTTTTGCTAGTTCTGTCTGTCCCTGTCTGTACTTCTAAGAGAACGCCAGCCAGGTTAAGAGAACAGCCTGTCAGGTGGTGTCCCTGGGTTTTTCTGCCTGCAGATAGCAGCCTCTTGGGCAAGGACAGCCCCCCGACCCCTACCATGTACAAGTACCGGCCAGGCTACAGTAGCAGCAGTACTTCAGCAGCCATGCCTCATTCTTCCAGCGCCAAGGTACGGAGTGTCTGTGTGCGAAGGAGGCTCAGAACATGAGCCAGTTGCTCTGGGGAGAAGAAGATTGGGGGAAGAAAGGTGGAGGGAAGGGAAACCCCAAAGCATCTCCCTCATTGTTGGCATTTGGCGGGACTGAGTCTCTCTGATATCAAAGAGGGAACCAACCATGTAGCACAACAGACAAAAGAACCAGGTGCAATCTCAGATCTGCCTTCAAATCCCTGTGCTGCCATCGGTCAGATTACTTACTTTTTCCCAGCCTCATTTTCTGCATATTAAAATGGGATACTTTTTCTAACTCACAGATTTGTATTACAGCTTAAACGAGACATAATGCATGTAAAAATTCTAATTTGACCAACCCTCCTTGGATTTTGGGGCCTTGAATTGTCACAAGAGGAGTAGTGCTAAGAGCCTGTGTTACTTTTTCCCTCAGTTGAGTCGTGGGGACAGCTTGAAGGAACCAACTTCAATTGCAGAGAGCAGCCGCCATCCCAGCTACCGCTCAGAACCCAGCTTGGAGCCCGAGAGCTTCCGATCCCCCACGTTTGGCAAAAGCTTTCACTTTGATCCACTGTCCAGTGGCTCACGGTCCTCCAGCCTCAAGTCAGCACAGGGCACGGGCTTTGAGTTGGGCCAGTTGCAGTCCATCCGTTCAGAGGGCACAACCTCCACCTCGTACAAGAGCCTGGCCAACCAGACACGTAACGGAAGCCTCTCTTACGACAGCCTGCTCACTCCTTCAGACAGCCCTGATTTTGAGTCCGTGCAGGCCGGGCCTGAGCCAGACCCGCCTCTGGGCTACACCTCTCCCTTCCTGTCGGCCCGGCTAGCGCAGCAGCGGGAAGCCGAGAGGCACCCGCGTTTGGTGCCAACTGGCCCGGCGCACCGAGAGCCCTCACCTGTTCGGTACGACAATCTGTCGCGCCATATTGTGGCCTCCCTCCAGGAACGTGAGAAGCTGCTGCGCCAGTCACCCCCACTCCCTGGCCGGGAGGAAGAACCGGGCTTGGGGGACTCGGGCATTCAGTCAACACCAGGCTCAGGCCATGCCCCTCGTACTAGTTCCTCCTCAGATGATTCGAAGAGGTCACCGTTGGGGAAGACTCCGCTGGGACGCCCAACTGTCCCTCGCTTTGGCAAGCCAGATGGGCTAAGGGGCCGGGGACTAGGTTCCCCTGAAGCAGGCCCAACTGCCCCATACCTGGGCCGATCCATGTCTTACAGCAGCCAAAAAGCTCCACCTGGTGTCTCTGAGGTGGAGGAAGTGGCCTTGCAGCCGTTACTGACCCCCAAGTAAGTATGAGCCCACACTGGCCTGGAGTGACTCTGCGCAGGCCCCAGGCCTCGCGCTACTCTCGGGCACGCACGCCGGGGACACTGCTCCGGACAGCTCCTCGCTTAACTCTCCATACAAGGAGGGGGCTGCTTTCATGGCTGTTCCTGTTAGACTGAAGATTAGGGTTTTCTTCTTAGATTTTTTTTCTAAGTTTCTTTTTACATCATTTTGTGCCTTTTTCCACCTCAGTTGTCATCCATGTGGGCTTCCCGTCACCAAATCACCCCGTGTCCTCACCATAGTCCTGTGCACTTCCCTCCCCACACCGTTTTTCATTCCATCCCCCACTCCACCCCGTAAAAAGTCTCTGGGATATAGTTGTTCATTCTTCTTCTTTTCCCCCCAGTCCTTTATGCTCTTGCTATGAGAGAAACCATAGCAGGTTTTCTTTTTCTTCCTGGCTTATTTTAATACTTCTATTCCATCTTTTAAAAAATGATTTGCCCAAGAGTAGTTAGTGAATAAGAGGGGTCAGGCTTGTTATAAATAGGGCAAGAGAACAAAAAATGGGTAAGAAAGTACATGTGTAGAAAAATAACTTTTTTTCTTTCAGGTGATCTGTTTTGTGTGGAACTTCCTGACACCTCTTTTCTTCTCTTCCCAGAGATGAAGTGCAGCTCAAGACCGCCTACAGCAAGTCCAACGGGCAGCCCAAGAGTATAGGCTCCGCCGCCCCCGGCCCAGGCCAGCCACCTCTTAGTAGCCCCACAAGGGGCGGGGTCAAGAAGGTGTCAGGGGTGGGTGGTACCACCTATGAGATTTCTGTGTGAGCCTTGGCGGGACACCTCCCTCCTCATGCCTCTGCGCCTACACCAAAGGGCCCCAGGCGGCCACCGTCCTTTCCTCAAGGGGCTCCCCTCCCCTGCATGGACAGTTTTTAAACCACCGATTCCAAGGGGATGAGGAGCGTTTTATAAAATGCAGTGGGGTTGGGGAGTCGGAGAGTTGGGGCCCTGAGACCGGGGTAGTGACCCCCTTTCACCTTTTAAGACCTTCCCTCCCCTAACCCCTGGACCAGACTCAGTGGACATTTGTGCAATTGCCCTGGAGGGAACCAGATCATTTTTAAACCAGAAATAATTTTTTTTATTATTGTTACGGATTCTATTTTTTTCCTCTTCTGCGTTACCAGGTGTGTGTGTACATATATATATATTATAAATATCAAAGAAATTATATATCTATCCTGGGATGGGAAAATGAGGGAGGGATCTGTATAAGGAGGGGGCTCTTACTTTTCCCATTCCTCAGACCAGCAGGAAAAAGGGGAGGCTTCACTCTTGTCTTCCCTAGGGTTCCCTCTTAAGTCCCAGTTACCAACTAAGAAAATAGCACCCCCTGTTGTTGGTGCTAAGTGATCAGGAAAGAAACTCGGGGAGAGGGGAGTCTGGGATCTCGGTCAGAAGAGGAAAGGGCCTGAGAGAGAGGGGTGTTCCTTTTATTGGCTCACTGGCACTTAATTTCCCCGTTGGGGGTGGTCACCGCCTCATGACTTTAATGGTGGGGGGAGATCTGGAAGAGAGCTTAGCCTAGCTCCAGAAACAATATTAGATAGTCCTCCCGTTCCGGGGAGAGGGATCAGGGTGGGCTTCAGTAAGCTCCACACAGTCTTTCCCCGCACTTCACACGGTTAACGTTCTTTTTAACTCAAGGCCGGGAGAGAAGAGTCCAAAAAGCAATATTTTTCATCACATGCCAAAAACGGGATAGAGAGAAGGAGTGGCGGGCTTCGCCCCTCCGATTGTCCCTTGGGGGTTGCCCTCTGCCTGCCTCAGTATGGTGCTGGGTAGAGCGGATACCTGGGTTCTAGCCCTAAATAGGGAGACCCCAGCCTCTTGGCAGAGGCCCTTTTATTTTTTATTCTGATTAGCCATTTTAAACCGACAAGGAATAAAAAGAAATCCTGATCTAACCAGCTCCCCCTGACTGGTGTGGTTTTGTCTGGCTAAGGCAGGGTGAGTGATCACTAAGGACATAACCCCGCTTCTGGGCCTGGTGCACATTTAGGGGTGACTGCAGTGAAAGGTGGTTATCATTTAAGACAGTAAGTCCTGGTTTTGTTCCCCATGATTGACTGAAAGAGCCCTGAAAAAGGATACCTTGCTTCCATCAAAGCTGCTTCTCTCCAAGCTGAGAGACCTTGCACTGTGCCGTTCGTTGTTCCTTAGCGCACAGTGTTTTCTCTAGAAAGGCAGGCTCACTTTGGAAGACAGTGGATGATGGAAGGGAAGCCTGTTGCAAGCAGTGACACATGGTGGGGCTCAATGAATAGCTCCTGTTGTCTCTTGCTTGTCAGACAACAGAGGGCTGTGCCCTCACTTTAAATAGGCCGGTCCTCTGACATGAGACCCCAGGAAAAGTCGCTAGGACCCTTGATTGTACTGTCTATAACTTAAGTAGATAAACTGTTGCTTTGAAATCCTAGAATTAAGACTGGTTTCCCTTCTGCTGATGAAGGAATAACCTTGGCACACTGCAAGATTCTAACTGTCCTGTGGCAAATTTAGCTGAGGTTACATTAGCTTGGGAGTCCCTCTCTCCCCCCGGTTTTTTTCAGTTAACTGGCCTGCTACAAAGACTGAAGGAATTTATTTTACATTTTGCTAGTTTAGGCTGCCTTGTTTGAGGAGCTTAGAAATGTTTTCACATCAGTGAAACACAGTATCTTACTGAGGAATGAGGCAGGTCAAAAATTCTTTCAAAGCAAGAATCATTACCTTCACTTGCCAGAGGTTTATTTAAAAACAGTTCTGACCACAAATTAACTTTGTTGAAATATATTGGTGAGTGTGGGCACTTCTCAGTTGGCTATTCTGATTCAGCACAATCAACCTAGAACACAGTTTGAGTCCAGGCTGGCTCATCAGTCCTTCAGCTGGACCCTGGAGGTTGTCCAGGCGCATGGTTCTGCACCTCGGGCAGAGCATTCCAGAGTCAGGTGTCTGAGGCAGGCGCATTCATTAGGAAGCTCTGCCTCACTCTGGACCATGTCCTTCAGTCTCATTCTGGTTCTGTATCTGCCTGCTAATAAGAAACTGTAACAAGACCCAAATCTCTTCAGATCTTAGTGTGCCTCAGCTTACACCCTAACTCATATGGAAAGGCACTTACTCTCAGCAGGCAGCCACACTTTTAGCCAGTTTGAAAATGTAAAAATTTTGTTAACCCAAAGAAAAGCCCTAACAGATGAAATCCTAAAGTTAGACAAATTGCACAAAAGAAATGGAAAGAGAATTTCCTGGGAGAGGAAAAACTGTCCATGAGAACGCCAACTGGGCTGGACCTCACAAAAAAGGTGGCCCTCCTCCTAACACCTTAGTCCTGAGCACGGCGGGGCTGCTGCTGTCCAGTTGCGGGGGTGCTCCCAAGGCGGTGTCCAAGGGCTAGGAAGGCCGCTTTCATCAGCAGGTTCCAGGCAGCAGGAAAGTCCTTGGGGACAGCCCGGGGGTCCCACTAGCGGAGGCTACTACTGCTGCTGGCCTGAGAGCTGCCCACCCCTGGGTGGTCCGGACTGTGTCGGTTCTGGGGAAGACAGAAGCAGGGTGAGAGGACACCAGAAGCAGCTGTGGCCTTGACCAGGGCTGCACAGGAAGACGGAGCAGCTGGCCTAGGTTTTCAATCGGGTGGACACAGGCAGAGTGCTGCTCAAGGGGGTTGGGGACGTGGGGACATACTGGGCTGAGGAGCCGGGGCCACCCTACCTTCTTTTTCTTCTTCTCTTTCTTCTTCCTTTTCCGCTCAGGATCCTCCTCTTTTTTCTTTTTCTTTTTCTTATGATCTGAATCAGAAGGTGTTTCTGTGGGAGACATTAAGGTGCTTGTCATCTGGAGAGTGCAATATTTCCTACTGCCAGGAAGGCTGCACACACAGGACAGCCCTGGTCCAGCAGGGGAGGGTAAGTGTTTTTCATCAAATGGCCAGGAGACCAGAAAGCTTACTGAGGCACCACGAAAGCCCAGGTTTGTATTTGCCCAGGAGACCCCGTACACCAGTTTCTTGCAGGAGAATTTGTGTGGAAAGGACTTAACTGGGTTTATTTTTTTAAAAGATTTATTTTCTTATACATACAGAACTGGGGAACAGGCCAGAGGTGCAGGGGCAGTGAGAGGATTCACCAGAGACAGTGGGGAGCAGGACAGGCGGACTGACGAAATAACACTGCTGAGGGGAGCAGGAGGTGAGACAGGAGAGGTCTGCCGCGCCATGTGGATCACCTCTAGGGTTGGGGATTGAATTCAACACTGAAGCGGCTGCAGCCAGCTTGTAGTGCTGCATACCAACCTGTTGCACTGCTGGGGAGGGCCTTAACTGGGTTTTTAACTGAGGAAAGTTGAACCAGACTCCGCATCAGACCAGGTGCCTTAGAATGGCGCCACTTCTTACCTGGGGGAACAGGATCCTGGGTACGGCTCTGTTTGTGCTTTTGCTTATTCTTCTTCTTGGGAGGCTGAATGTGCATCAGACGACACTGCTCCGGCAGCTGGAGGAGCCAAAGGAAGGTCTGGGTGAGAGTGGAAGCACCCCCTGTTCCCATCACCTATTCTGCTGCACAAGTTAGAAGAAACACACTGGGACAGAAGAACCAGCACGTGTCTCATGCCTCCCCATCTGCCGCCTTCTTCCCCAAGAGGAGACTCACTGGGCCAGTGTGGAGGCGGAAGCCAGCCAGCATGGTCCCTGTGATGGGATTAAAAGAGCCACTAAGAATTGGGGGCTTCTCAATGAGGGAGCGGAGGCTGCTGTTGTCATGGGAACCTGGCAGGTCAATCATCCCTGGAAGGTCCGGCAAGAAGTTACTCAGCTTCTCCTTCATCTTCTTCCCACAGAACCTGTGGTAGGCATGTTCCAGGTTGTAGTGTGTGATCAGATTAGTGCTGCCTGTCAGCTCTGTGCTTCCTAGGAAAAACAAAACAGCACTAGTCCCAAGAGTATTTTTTTTAAGCCACTGACTCAGAGGGAACATGAAGGACTATATTTTAACCTAAATAAGGGATCTCTCAGGTGAGAAGGATAACAATTTAGGTTTACTTTAGAGTGAAAACAAGCAAAATAAAAACATAACACACACTAAAATGTAAATACTGGAGAATGGTGGGTTCAATATAGGAAGGAGGGAAAAATAGCAAAAACCCAAATAGTGCAGAGGCACTGCTCTGATCTAATGAAGCAGACATCCCTCTTGCCCTGAACTAACCAGAATCACCATCTGTACTTGTCAGAAAATACATTGGTGAGAAATACTCTGACACAACCAGGACACTATCACTTCACAGTGCAGTGAGGGCCACACAGGACCGGCAGGTGACCTAGTGGCAGGAAAGTCTCGTAAAGGGCCTGCCTTTGTTTCCCTAGCACGAAACACTAATCACCTTTACAAGTAGCCCAGACAGGAGATTTTTCTTGCTACTGCTGTCTGCCATCTTAAAATTATAACTCTTGG